GCACACGCCGTGGCTGTTGGTGCCTGCAGACGTGGCAATCCGCACTGCCACGTGGACACCTGTTGAAGACCCCCCTGGCTAGGGGGCTGCGCCACAGACATATATTTTATTTTTTTTTCTTTTTTCACTATCTCTACACTGTTGCAGCAGCAGTTTGGCAACAGTTCAAGATTTTCCCCCTGGCTAGGGGGCTGTGTGACTGTGGCAGTAGGGTGGTTGATCAAGATCTAAACCAACCCTCCATCATCATCATTACTACTGTGGCATCACGCCAGCAGCATCTTGAAGGCCAAGATCCTGTGGATCTTGGTAGAACTTTGCTTTTGGCCACCCAAGAGCCTGGTATCACCACGCTGCCACTAACCCACTCTCCCCCAACCTCTTTTCTCTCTTTCCCCCCATCATCTAATCACCTTTTATCCCTCCTACCATTACTCTCTACTCCTCCCTCCCTCTCCACCCATCTTCCACAACCGTTTTCTCTCCTCTCCTCCCCACTCACCATTTCTCACTAATCTCATCTACTCTTCTCCACCTTTTTCATATCCTTCTCTCCCATTTCACCACCCTCTTCTCCTTCTTCCCTCCCCCACCTACAACCCCATCATCTCCCCCACCTTACCTTTTTTTTTCTCTTCTCACTTCTTTCTCTCTTTCTTCATCACTTTTCCACCCCCCCACACCCAACTCCGAATTTTTCTGTTTTTTTTCTTCTTTTCTCTTTCTCTTTGATGTAAAATTTCTCTTTTCCTCCAAAAATCTGAATCATCTTATTCCCTACCTCTTTTCTTATGTTCTGATTTATTTTTTTATTTATTTTATTTATTCTGAAAATTCAAAATTTTCTGTGGCACCTCTATATCTTGCTAGGACTCAGTCTTTCTTTGTTGTCGGCGCACATTTTGACCCCTTGGGGGTAGCGAAGCGCTGGCCAAATTTTTCCATTCTACTTAGTCTTTTTCTTGACGGCATACTTAGACCCCATGAGGGTAACGAAATGCTGCCGA